AAGAGGCGGTGGAAAAGCTCAATATCTTCAGCCAAAACCAGGCCAGGAGCTGATTGTGAAACAGACCATCAACTGCTCATATGCAAATTCAACTTGAAGTTAAAGACAATGAAAACAAGTCCAAGAGAGCCAAAGTATGATCTTGAATATATCCCTCCTGAATTTAGAGATCATCTAACAAATAGATTTGATGCATTGAACACCAACGACCAAACACCAGAAAAATTGTGGTTAAAATTCTAAAAGACCAAAAAAACAGTGCTTGCAAACTCATTTTGTTTGTTTGTTTTGTTTTTAAAGGAACCACTTCTTCTAATTAAATCATATGTTAAGCAGAAGTGGAGCTGCTCTGATTAAAGTGAGGTGTAAAAAAGTAGAGCCTCAACTCCTGGGCACCCAGCCCCCTTCTCCACTTTGTATAAATCAGTGATGTAAGGGGTCAAAAAGCCAGTTTTATGCTGTGGTCTGGTTTATGTGTCCAGCTTTAGTCACTGTTAAAGTTAAAGCATGACAGTGCTAAATATTGGTGTGTTTTGTCAGTTTCTCACATTAGTCATATAACACCTAAGCAAGTTATTGTTCCTGTGCCCTATGGACATCACTGCCATTATCACTTCCAGTATGTAGCTGTCTCCTTGAAACCTTTTTCAATTTACAAATGTTCCACAGAATTCTGACCACATATTCCCAGGCATTAGCTAGTTGTAATAGTAAAACAGCTGTAAACCTAATGTGAATACAATCTCTGAGCCAGGTAACTGATAAACATAACATTAGCAGAATTAACTTGAAAACTTTGTGTCACAAATAAAACACTTCTTCTTTATTCTTCCAAAGAAAAGATGAAATTAATAGATTTCCTCATCTACTAAATATCCTGGAAGCAATGAACTTCAACATGTACAGTCTGTAAAAAATGATAGGAAAAAATATATATTTGTTCAGGTTGGTACTAACCTAATAAATTTAACAGCCAGGCCGAGGTCAGCGATACAACAAGTTCCATTTTTCTTCACGAGGATGTTCTTACTTTTCAGATCGCGATGGGCAATAGCTGGTTTGCCTTGAGTACTAAAGATTTCGGTGTGTAAGTGACATAAACCACTTACTGAAGAATAGGCTAATTTCAGCATTGATTTATTATCTAGTGTGGTGGACTTCAGATAATCATAGAGGGACCCATTTTCATGATAGTCTGTAATTAAGTATAGTTGAGTCCAAGACCCGGTCCCTTTGATATCTGCAGCAATGAACCCTAAAAGGAAAATGGACAAAAAAGTTTGGAGGTTGTTTTCTGAATAGTATCAAGAATAATTCATATTCTCAAACGTCATTCTTTGTCACACCCATTGCCATCAAGTTGAGTCTGACTCATAGCAGAATTGCCCCCTAGGGTTTCCTGTGCTGTAATCTTTATTGTAACCGATCAGCAGGTCCTTTCTCCCACTGACATGCTGGTGGTTTCAAACTGGCGACCTTTCAGTTAGCAGCTAAGTGCTTAATCACTGCACCACCAGGGCTCCTTATTCTTTGTCATAGCTATCTTTAGTAGTATCTTATTCTATTTTCTGATTATGTCTATGATGATACTTTATTCAATTGCTAATATCAAACAAAGTTAATTAAAATTATGGAGATACAGAAAAAATAAAGTGTGTATATCTGAAAACATGATCCCTTTTCTAATCAGTGGTTAACATATAAATTACTTTAAGGCTGTAGTAAATATTTCACGGTACTATAGGTATACATAAGAGACTGCTTAAAAAACAGGGTCTTGAAAGAGTTAAGGGATAACCTCACACACACACACTTACTTATTAGTTTACAGTCTTTCCATTTGAATGATCCAGCTAGATCAGCTTTAACTTCAGAAGATAAAAAATAAATCAATTCTTTATATGAACTCTCGATAAAAATAAAACCTACTGATAAAATTCCCATAACTTTTTACAACAGTTAAACAAAAATATGCTCCTTCCAATCCCTAAGAAACCCTAGGAAACTACAGCATTACATGCGCATTTCCTGTCTCTAAAGAAAAAATATTTTAGAGTATCCCATTTCCAGCCCAAAACTCATTCACAGAAGTGCCTTAGTCATTCCTTCTGTGAGGTCTCCTATTAGAAGCTTGTGATGTTCTTGAGCCCATGCCAAACAGAAAATCTCTCTATATTTTATAAAATGTCTAGACAGATGAGTTAATATGCAGATGTTAACAGAAAAACAGAGGAAAGCTAGGAAACCCTGAACATTGTCATACAGATTTGTACTCACCCAAAATATTTTCATGCCTCATCAACACTGTCTGATATATTTCTGTCTCTCTGAACCAGCTGGCTTCCTCTGTGCTGAAGAACACTTTCACAGCTACCTTTTCGCCACGCCACTTTCCCATCCAGACTTCCCCATAGCGACCTTTTCCAATCTGTTTCACCATCTGAATCTGCTTAGCTATAGTCCTTTGGACCTGTTAAGTCCCAAAACACACTGTTAGTGTATTCACAGCACTACAGATTTGTTTAATCTTTTTCTTTTTCCAGAGAAGAAACAATTACTATATGCAAAATATATTTGGGCATTAGCTTTTCTTTATATATAGTTACTTTTATGTGTGTGTGTGATACCACCTCGGAAACACAAGGAGGGGTTGCTATGAGTCAGATCCAACTTGCGGCAGTAAGTTTGTTTAAACATATTTAAGATTTATTTGAGATTCTGAATGTTCAAAATATTGCTTCCAATTATTAAATATTTCATTCTACCAATTATCACTTTCATAGGAAAAAAATCTGAATGGAATACTTTTCATTTCCACCACTACAAAAAAAAAAAAAAAAAAACCACCCAAACTCACTACCATTGAGTTGATTCCAAGTCATAGCAACCCCCTTTGGGTTTCCAAGGCAGCAAATCTTTATGGAAGTAGAGTGTCAAGTCTTCCTTCTGAGGAGTGGCTGGTGGGTTTGAAACATCAACTGTCTGGTTAGCAGTCAAATGTCTTAGGCACGACACCCCAGAGCTCCTTTTTCCACCACTATGGTGGTATAATAGATACCCTGAAGGAATTCTGGCCACTATATGACTTGATCACGGGTAAAATATAACAAAACAAATTTTTTCTGCATTGTTGGGCTCACAAGGAAATAAAATAATTTTTAAGCAGCAAGGAAGAAAAGAAAGGAGAAACTGAGGGAGGAAGGGAAGACATAATTGAGATCACAGTGGAAAATGAAAAGCATTTTGCATAGACATAAAACAGGGTTGTTCTCTAGGAAGAGTATTACTAATCCTGGGATCCTGAGTCTAAACTCTGACCCCCCTACAAAGTCGAGAAACTTTGCCAGGGCTTCAGCATGAAGTTGGTACTAAATTTACTGCCTGACTCGAGGGCAAATAACAGCAACAACAGATTTACTGTAGGCTAGTGGCATAAAGTGACTTCCAGAAGAAATAGACACAAGCGCTCTTTGCAAGAAATCATTTGCATAGTACATATCACCACCATTTAAATGAGATACTAAATACTCTGAACAAACTCTTGCTACAGTACAACTGATCATGGATAAAATATAACAAAACAAAAATGTATCTCATTGTTGATGTCACAATAAAAACTAAAATCTCCAAATGAGGAGGGAGTGAGGGATGAAGAAAGGTAGGTAGGGAGAGAGTGAAAGAGCGAAAAGATAAAGGAAGGGTGGGACAGACTGAAGGAAGGAAGAAAAGAAAGGAATGAGGAAGGGGGAAAAGAAGGAATGAGAAAGAAGGAAGATAGGAGGAAAGACAGAAAGAAAACAGAAGGAGGAAGGGGAAGAAGGAAGGGAGAGAGGGAGAGAAGGTTCCACAGAATAAATTCCTTAAAACAAAAGGAAACAGCCAGTATAAGTGAGAGTCAGCAAACAACAACCACAACAAATTTAAGCCCTTTAAATTACAGATACTAGAATTATCGAACATAATGTGGAGTAATGCTACATAAAATGTGTAAAGAAATAGAAGATGGAATGAAAAATAAAAAGCAAACATTAAGAGCTTAATGAAAATTACACTTTTGGAAGTATAACAGTTAATCATCACAATCAAAAACATAAGGTGGGAGGGGAAAACATAAATAAAAGCAGGAGAGAAAGTTAATGAGCTGCAAGCTAATTCTGAAGAAAGAGAATGCAGTAGACAGAGGAAGGGAAAGAAAATTTGAGAGTTAAGTGATAAAGAGGTTAAAATGAGACCTTGAGGCAGAAAAAGAGAAAAGAGAGGAGAAATGGTATTTGAAGAGAAAATAGCTATGAATTTTTAGAACTGTAACAAACAGAAAGCAGTATATAAAATCTAAGCAGGAAAAATAAAAATTAATTTATATTTAGACATACTGAAGTAAAATTACAGAACTCAAAAGAGGATTTAAAGTAGAGAAAAAAGACGGATTGCCTACTAAGGAACAGTTAAATCAACAGTATTCTTTTCATTAACACACAAATCAGAAAATAAATAATATCTCCAACGTACTAAGTCTAAATTAAAGCAAGTCCAGAATTTGTATACATAAATGCATGTCAAGAATGAGAATAAAGTAAATAATAAAAACTATTAGACAACAAAAAACCCAAACTATCAGCATACTTTAAAGTGTAGTATGCATTTCAACAGGAAAATGACACCAAATTGTTGTTGTTGTTGTTAAGTGCCGTCGAGTCGTTTCCGACTCATAGCGACCCCATGCACAGCAGAACGAAACACTGCCCGATCCCGC